GGCTCTGTATAAAACCATAGGCTTCCTTTCTTACTAGTTTGTTTTGTTCCAACATAATTGATTACCTCATCAATGGGGTCAGCATACTTTGCTGTAGCTGCTGACTAGGAGTTGAATAGGCTGTCTCAGACATAATGAGTAAAATCTTGTAGGTTTTAAATTAATATCAAGCTTTTTAAAATGTAATTTCTCATAAAGTCATCAAGTAATAGAAATTACGAATTATCAGATAATAAGGCCAAGACCCATATCCGAGTCTCAGTCAGTACTACTCCAGGAACAAGCAGGAATCCTGTAGAGTTTGAAGACAGAGATAACACTCAGAAGAACAGTTTCCACCAATCTGCAGCCATTTAGTCTGTATACATTATCTTATTTTTTTTTCTATGTAATTTTCTAGTTGCTCAGCTATTTTCTTTAGATCTTCAATTTGTAATGGATTTAAAAACAATAGCTTTATACTAGCAGTTTGGAGCTCAAATGTTTCTTGCTGCCTTCTATAAAATTATTTATTCTCTCAAAATTTCTGACATTACAAAGAAGCCATGCCCTACTGTTGAATAGGTAGGACTACTTGGCTGGGTTGGAGTGATTTCTTAGAGCTCTTCTCCAGGTGTAGCTCCTGCATCCTTCTCAGGCTGTGGCCTGCTCTGGTACCCCATTTATTGTTGTTAATAATAGGCAGAATATGCATCTGCCCTTTGCAGAGTGAGAGCTGGTGTGGCCGACCCCTCCTGCTCTGCACCAGGAGAGCTATCTAGGCAGGGGGATGCACACTCCCATTTCCCCTTACATCCTGTGTGGCTATATAACCCAGGCTTATCCTAGCTACAAATTATCTAATTATCTGCAACACAGAGGACAATATTTTCTGAATCCCCACTTTCACTAATTTAGTTCCTCACTAGACACTTTCGGATTTCTTCTGCTAGGAGCATAACATGAATTATTTAATGGGACACAATTTTCTAAAGGCAATACTTACATTGTAATCAAAAGCCATTTGTATGTGCATCCTTTGTGTATGCACGATTCTCTTTTGCACATATAAAATAGACATCCATGCAACAGCTTCCTTTAACGTGCACAGAAATTTGCCTTCCTGAATATAGTTCCATGCATGGAAAGGATGTGAACTCAAATCATTTGAGAGCTATTTTGCTCCTGATGTGTAACAGTTTGTGGCAACTATCTGGTCAACATTTTACAGCTTTTTGTGTATCTTCAGTGAAGAAGAAAGATTGCATGCAAGTGTGTTAAGAACACAAAGTCATATTGTTGAGGAATAGAAATGCCATATTTATAGTCACCCATGAAACATGAATTTGTTTCCTCTTGTGGGTTACCTTGTCAGCGTCTTCTAACTACATCATCATGAGTCTGTTTCCCCACAGACTCCCTGACACATGCAGTGCGTGGGATGACTAGCCCTCAGCAGCAAGCACTCCACAGCTACTCATTTCCTTGCAGGCTTTTCTGCAGCACCATTCTAGTATCTCATCATTGGTGGTTGCGCAGAACCTACCAGCTGAAGAGGCATTGCCATTCCCAGTGAGCACATGTGGAACTGAGGCATGTGGATGAGCACTGGGGTGCTCTGAGGGACCAGATAATGGGAGGAGGACATTAAGATTTTGCAGAGCACATGGAATTTCATCTTCTGCCACGTACTATGAACAAAACTGTTGCTGTTGGATGCAGTCTGTCTCAGGTTAGCTGTACAGTTGAAAAAGGAGCAGATGGTGTTTCTGGAAACGCACTGGTGAAAATGGTTTTTCCATTACTTTGTACCACAGTAGAGCTTGAGGGCAGGGGCAGTTTGTTATAGCAGCATTGGGTTACTCTAAGTTCAGCCTTTCTTGTTCTGCAGTTCCCCGCTTCATGCTTCTGCCATGTTTCAATGTCTTCAGTAGGTACAAATGAAGTCCTACACACAGCAACTTCATACACCTTGTGCTGTGCACTGAATGAGGAGTGCTAAGGAGACAGAGTATGTGGTCATGCAGCAAGATGATGTATCCTAACGGATATGAAGAAGTTCTGTTAAGGGTTCACAAGCACTCAAAGGGGGGAGGTTTGGATCATTTAATAATTCTGGAGCTTTCCTATGAAAGCTGACAAAATTTTAAAGAATCCTTGGAACTGGAGATGCTGAAATCAGACACAACATTTTGTAGACTTTATTCTTATAAATGATGGATTTT